AAATTATTTTTTCAAATCCATTAAAAATATGAATCAATTAATATGAGTATCATGGTAAATTATGCACTTCATTTTATTTATTAAGGGGTGTGCAAAGTCCACAGTGGACAAGTAAAAATCAACCGTTAGAGTATTAATATCAAAGCAATTAGCCATTTAATGCCATTTTTCTTAAGAAAATTTAACGAACATCATTGGCCCAACTTCCAATTCAATGGCGTAAAAACTACTAAAAGCTACGTATGTTAATTTAATAGTACTTTATTTATATTTTATAGTATAAAGTAGTTGATACATTCGTTGGTGCCTAGCGACTATCTTCTTACTCTTTGACAATATTATGGTTGCCTTCGTTAGAAGCTGTCGTACGTGGAACCCACCCACCCTAACGTTGGATATGTTTGTTGAACCGAATTTATCTGAACCCAATATTTTTTGTACCAAAATTCACTAAATTTCAGGAGAATTCGTAATAGACATGCAATACCAGCTGACACTATAACCAACTTACGAAGCGGTGGCTTTTAATTTTTCACAAGTTTTAAATATGGAATTACATATCAAATATTGGAAGAAAACTAACAACTTACGGACATATCGATTCCTTCTAATTTATTCGTATATTTATTACGAATTCTCTTAAAATTTGAAATTTAGCGCATTATACTTGTGTGGTTATATTCAGTTGGTAAACCAAGTTAAATTATCAGAATATTTCCATACTTTCTCTTTTAAAATTTTCTAAACTCTCTTATGATTCTAATTAAACAAGAGCACCACCAACAACAATAATAATAATAATAATAATAATAATAATAATAATAATAATAATTCACTGACCTGAATTATAATTCAAGGAAGTGGAGATACGATCCTGGTGTTCTGTAAGTCGGAAATCGGCGGCGGACGGCAGCATTCCCGTCTGTCCGACGGAGTAGATGAGCCGATTGCTGGGCATTTCAGTATTCAACTGAAATGCCATATAAATTCTCGAATCCTCAGCTATGACTGAGGATGTAAAGTTGACCAGTTGGAGGTTTCCCTCATCGGGCAAAACCTGCTCGGAAAATTTTATTTTCTTATTAAAAGTGATCATATTTTACTAACAACAGATTAAATTAATATAGATGAATTCAAGATCAGATTTAATTGATCCAAAATGAATGTTATCTTATTATATGTTTCAATACTCATTATACTTGTGGTCATTCATACTACAACAACAACAACCCAGTATAATTCCACTAGTGGGGTCTAAGGAGAACTTACCCCTACCCTAGGGTAGAGAGTGGATGGTAGTGTGTACGCAGAACTTACCCCTACCCTAGAGTAGAGAGGTTGTTTCCGATAAACCTTTGGCTCCCTCCCTCCAAGAACTCCCCACCTTACTCTTGGAGTGACTTGAACTCACATGGTTGGAAGTTTAGGGTGCTCACCACTAGAGCAACTCACTCTTCCAATTCAGTCTGGCCATAAATCACAGTAATAGTTAGCAAATTGTCTTGTAATTGTCATCGAACTTTTTGGGACCCACCATGAGTTGAGTGGGTTCTATGTATCAAAATTCAAAATACTTCATAAAAACAGATCCAAATTTACATATTTGTTTTTTGACTGTGATTTAAACTTACACTATATTATAGTTCAAATTGGAGTTCAACAAGAATAATGGACAAATACGAGAAGATATGATGACGTATAAAGGATATTTTTGACCATTTTCACTTGTATATGCATACTTTGTATACACAGTTTGAGTAAAAGCAATAAATTCATTTTAACTTGCTCTAATTTGTCTAGAGATAAAATATATAAGTAAATAAGGATGAGTGAGATAGGAAATAAACCTCATTCGGCGATTGTCCGCCGAGGAAATACTTCTTCATAGTGGCAGTTCCTTCATTACTGACCCACCCAACAACTGCAGTGGAGCCAACCATTTTGCCATTTTTGGAAAATCCCATGGCTATGTATGCATTTGTGTTTGGTGCTGATAGGACATAGCTCCATACATTTGTATCTGTTCTCATATACTTTAGAAAAACAAAAACAAGAGGAGAATAAAGAGATTAATGTTAATGAACTGATGAAAGAATAAAGAATAGGGCAGCCCAATGCACAAGCCATCCCAGGATCACGTAGGATCGAGAGAAGGCTGCAAGTATCAACGGTTGATTCCACGGCTCAGACCCATCCCGGGATCACGTAGGATCGGAAGAAGGGCCGCATCCCAAGGGTGTGATGCAAACAGTCTACCCTGATACAAGTATCAGAGACTGATTCCACGATTCGGACCCTAGACCTATAGGTCACACAATACAAATTGATCGTTGCTTCTAGGCTCCCCTTGCATTTGAGAAGGGAATTTATAATACTTACTCTGAGAATGTAGCCTTGTTGATCCCATACTGAAAGACAATGGAAAGAAGTTGTGTCGAAAAGAAGTTCGCCTTTGAGTTTGAGATTGGAGCTGCATGAATCTGTGCTGCCTTGAGAATTTACTATCCGAATTTGGAAACTGAATATTTGGAAGATCAAGAAAATAGAGAAGAAGAAGAAGGCTGAGAATTTGAAAGATGTCTTCATCTTTCGATATTTTTGCTCTATTTCTTTGTGGCAAACAATTGAAGAGATGGTGAAATGATTGTAAAGGGTGGAAGAAGTAATGGCCTGGTTGTTTCTTGGTTATAATAATGTGCATGTTAGAGAGAATTTTTTTGAGTATAATATTGGGAAACTAAAAACATAGTGTGGTTGGTGTCTGTTAAAAAAAATAGATGGTCCATAAACGGAATAGAAAATGGGAATTGTGATTTGTTGATGTCAAAGTGTAAAAATAGTACTACTACTGTATAATGAACCATCTGAATATCTGGAGGGAAAATAAAATCGTCTGAAAATCTGAAATAGATTCAGATTATATTAGAGGTTATAATATTAATTCATTTTTTAGTAACACGTTAAATTTGTCCAAATTTAGAAGGGTTGAACTATAATCTATTTGTTGACATGAATTAACCGGTTAGAAGGTGAAATAACTCATCGAACTACTTCATCAAAACGAATCAAATAGCGTAAACCAAGTACCAACATGTTAAAATGTAATACAAGTCCAAACATACAAAATCAAATTTGAAGTTCAGGAATTATGTAAATTTGAAAGAACTTAAGCAAATAATTTTTAAAAAATACATTATTTAATCAAAAAAAAAGGGTCAGAACTAATGGCTTGAGTCATAACTCATTATTTAACTTATTTGAACTCAACCGTTGGATCATAATCTGTTTATTGATTCAACCCGTTCAAATTTAATCCAGCCCGTCCAGTTGATACTTCCAATGTATATATTCAACTCCAACCAAATTCAGATTTCAAACTAATTAGTTTGTTGATATTGACAAACATGATGTCTATGATTGAGATTGAAGTATTATAACAAAGTGGGTAATTAAAAAATGGGGACCTCACATGTTCTATATAGTATTAAACAAAATGGAATCATTAGGTGATACTCCTACCATAGGAACGTTGATGTAAAGATTAGTATCGTGCCTGGTCGTTGCGACCTAATTTTATGTTTTTCAAAAAAAAAAAAAAAAAAAAATGTAGATGAAGTAAAGGTTTGCTTTTTATATTGGGATAAAGCTTCTACTGATATGATACTATTTCGTAACATCTATAGGTATTGCAATTCTTAAATGAAAAACATTTATTTTTTGGCTAAAAGTTTTTTTTGGAGGTCAAAAGTATTTTTTTTTTTCAAAGTTAAGGTATATAGCCAAAGCTATAAGAAGTGGGAAAGTGTTTTGGACAGAAACGGTTTTTGATAAGCAAAGCAGGAAAAAAGTTGTTTCTTCCTAAAATTACTTTTGAAAAAAATACACATATAAACACTTTTTAAAAGCTTGGTCAAACACTAATTGTTGTACAACCTTACTTTTCAAATTAATTAGCCAAACACAAATCGTTTCTCGCCAAAAGCATTTTTTTGAAAAACATTTTAAAAAAAAATAACTTTCAAAATAAGCTAATTTTAGAAGTCAGGCCAAACAAGCTATAAGTCAATTTCTTTGGATGTGACAATATAGAAACAATTGCAATAGGGGATTGTACATATGCCAGTTCACGATGAGTTCTAACTGTTATATACAGAAAGTGTAACAAATTTATAGGACACAAATCTATTACTTGACAAGTTACGTGCTAAACAATAAAAATACAAGATAGTATTCTTTTACACAATCAGCATTGCTAGTCTTCCTTTTACAAATTGGCACTAGGAGAAAGCACCTACTTATTCAAATTGGCAATTTCAATCTCAAAAGTTAAAATAGTTGCCAAAATATTTGAAATTGCAAAAACATTTAACCAGCAGGTCGCTTGAACAAACGGCGACCTACTTATTTAAATTTGAACTGTGATAGAAGTGTTATATTCTTATCTCAGTGATCATGGATTTTTTAATTTTTTTTTCAAAATAAAAGTGCAAGTGACAAATAATGATCTGTCCGTGATTTCTCATATATCTTAAATTTTAGGATCCCATTTTTCACAATCAAAATGAGAATAAGATTTCGGCACTTATAAAATTTTCCTCCCATTTTACTTCATGTTAGAGTTGGTGGGAGGACCTCTTATTTCTCTTCTTCTTTCGAGTTGGTTAGACCAACAGGCGAATTAAGGTTCTGAACTCTATACATTCAACCTTTAAAATTCTTACTGTTGAACTGTACTTTATGGGTTCAAATCTGCTATTTATTATAATTTTAGTGTATTACAATTTTACTAACTCCAGCAACACAACACTTCATCCGCCCTCGGTTAGACATCAATCAAAATAACAAAGCCTGAGGAGACAAATAGGCATTAAGCATAGAAAAAGTTTGATGCACTGAATTTCTTTCAGTTCTTATTTCTTTGAATTCTTGATTGAACATTGAGCCATAAATGGTACAAAATTTGTAACCAGTAACCACCTATATGCGCAACTGCGAATTAATTATCACTGGAAGCAAGTCAGAGTCAGTAACCAACTTTCATGAACCAAAACGTTCTATTTAACTTCTATGAATGAAATTATTTACATAAAAAAGAAACCCTTCCTACACTTGCTATATTCACATGCTAAACCAGCTAATTCGTAGTATTATTCCAATAAAGATAAAAAGAAAAACAAAGTGCAAACGAACTCTGACATGTAAAAGCAACAAAGCCAGTTTATTATGCTTTCTAAGCAATCTAAAGTGTCTCAATTTCAGGAAATTCGTGAGAAACATCTCCCAGAAAGCCCCCGAGGAAGAAAACCAGGACCTCATGATCTATTTTGGCAACGGTGGTCGCTGAAGCATTGAGTTGGCGAGCTCATCATTTAGCTTTACAGGAAGTGGAGGCATCTGCCTCATTATCTCTGGCGCGTCATTCAAGCTGCAAAAGAGTAGTTATCAGCATGCAGGGAAGCGGCAAGCAAGTTGAGAGAAGTCAAGAAATTATGCACCTTGTTGAGCAAATAATACAAATAGAAAATTTGATACACAAACCCTTTTAAGTGTTCCAAGATTTAAAAGAACTTTTGGGGTTAACTTTTACATCTTTCCTCTCTTCTCGAAAGACAGTTTTGTCTTTCTTTCTTTACCAAAATTGTCGATCAATCTATCTTCCTTATTTGCAATATATGCTTGACAAGAAACTTCTACACTTACTGGAAGGAAGTAAATGCGCAAAATCATCACATAGTAAAAGTATGTAGTCTTGAAAATGGAGAAGAGGTTCACTCATGATAAAAGCATGGAAATGACATTCATTCATGATAAAAAAATGAAACTGACACAAAAACAAATACATGCCAAAGATAGAGAGAGAGTGGAAGGATAATTCGTCATACTCATTTAAGATGGAGAGGATATTGTTTCGAGCTTGACAGAAAAGGTTGATGTTTTCCTGGATCTGCATGGTAACAGAAGAGAAAAGCATGAAGAACATAAATACCACCAATCACACAAGAGGGATAATGCTTTAAGTTGCGGATTGTCAAGCAAGATCAAAATATATCACATGTAACTTTATTACGAATAGTATAGCTGACTCGTCACCAGGCAGTAGGCACAGCATGCAAGAATTGCAAGATGCTGTTCCCTGGACGAGTGCACTGAAAAAAAGGATTTTGCAAGCAAAGAATCATGACGCAGCAGCATAACAGAAAAAAATTCCTGAAAGTTTCTCTATTTTTAAAAGTAGAAACTATTTCTGAATTTTCCTTCAAAAGAAAGATCATCCCCTATAACTGATTCTCATGCTTGAACGCTTACTGGGTTTGCAGAAGTTAAAACTCCAAAATGCTTATGCATCTTATCACATATAGAAATGCCTCCATGAGTAGAATAAAAGAAAAAGAATCACGGGCCTCCTTCGAAATTGAACCTTGTCACTGTAGGGAACAAGAAGAGGATATCTTTTTCCTCTCACTCCCACTAGAGGCAAAAATTTTAGCTACTTTCTCTTCATATCAGGCAATGAAGACTTAAATCTACCCCCTTAACCTTCATACGAGCAATGTAATGAATATTCCTTTTGTTCTTTTATCAGTAAAGATAGGATTTCATTAAGTAGGAATCTGCACTGAGAAAGTGCTCAAATATACAGCTAAAGTCTAAGAGACAGTCTCCCACTATTCATGAAGGGAGCTGATAAAATCCAAATGCAGTCTGCATGATCCATATATTAAGATTTACACCAGTAAAGAAGCTGATAAACAAAAGAGACACATTTTCTCCTTTTTCAATAAACCTATTACAAGTGTAAGCAGCAGATCACCCATATGGTTTACCTACATAATATACATTGAGTGTCACAGCTCACAAAAAAAAGGATGGCAGGGGCTAATGGAAAATATCAAAACCATTAACTGACCTTAAAAATAGCAAAGTTCGCAGAAATTTTATCCAAGGCCTGAGCATTTTGCTCAAGAAGCTGTCCAGCGGGACCACCAATGGCTGCAAAGTACATGATTTACATGTGTCATATATGACCAAGATAAAATAAGAAAAAAAAAAGGACCTAAATAACAAACATAATTATTTCAGATTGGCATATCATGGACAGAATAACAGGAGAATGTAATGCATATTAATTGAATTGCTATTCTACCCACAAAATGCAACAAAACATTCTGAGTTGGTTGTAAGTGCATTGGTAGAAAGAGCATTCCTCTACAAAACCATGAAATAAGACTAGGAGAAATTGGAGCAGATACAAAAATTGAAGATCCAATTCAAATTGCTAACAATGATAGAGCATGTAGAGAAGCGGAGTTCATATTAGCCACCTTAGCTATTGAGTAATGAATAGTACAAATAAAACTCGGTGGTCAGCATGAATGGCAAGAATATCATCCAGCATATAGCTCAAGTCACAAATACTCATCTACAAGTTAATTGTCCAATTAGGAAATAAAAGATTTTTATACTCCTTTTCTATTAGTTATCAGATAAGAGTGATAGCTTTTAGAAAGTACTAAGTAACTAACATTCATAATAGTATCATTTCCAACATCATAAAATCCAATTGATAGCAAGTAAACTTTTCAAAACACCTCAAGAAATCCAAAAACAAAAAGTTAGAAGCACAAAAAAAATCCAAACCAAATCCACTGTCCAAAAGTTTCACTAGATTTAGAAAATCCACTAAGTTGGTAGAGAGTTGGCTGTAGCTGTGACCAATACCTGAAAAATAAAAATGGGCGACCTCACTCACAAAAACTCATTGAAAATTTTAACATCACGCAATAAATGCTCACTGTTTAATCCATGTGAAAACAATCGGGTACCTTTTATATGAACTACATTTATAGGCATAATAGTTCGGTTTATGAAAATAGTACATCTCCTGATCTACCAGACAAAATGTTCGCACTTTCTTTGGGGAATGCTGGAAAGGCGATGACCTAGCTTAGCTTCATATTTTCACATTTCAACTAGTCTAGCATTGACCCTTTCGTTCACATGTTGTTCTATTATGGAGTGAAAGAAACCAAAGACATTTTGAAGGCGACTAAAATTGAAGTAAACTTTACCTATAAAAAACAACTCAAATTGAAGTAATCCCTTGGTAAGTGTGATTATGTCAGTTATCAGAACCTCCCAGTGATGCAGTTATGATCATCAAGAGGAGATTATATGTTTACCATCTCTATTCATTTCATCTTTCCTAATATGTATACCTTCCTCTAACATGTCATTCCAGGCAGGACTGCGAGACCCTAGAGCGCAAAAATAAAAGCAGAGACAGCTCTAAAAAGCAAAGTCCTAGTTAAGAATCAGCTTCTCAAGTTTCAGTTCATTTTTAAAAGAAGAATCAGAGGCATAAGAACCAACCTTGGTAGGAAATTCCATCATCACTGTCCATTGACATAACAGCTTGAGCATAGGGAGGACCATTTGTGCGATTTGCAGCATGAGTAGATTTTGGCATAGAATCCGTAATTTTTTCCTAAAACCAAAGATCAATGGTATCATGGTAAAGAACTAATTCAAAAACCATTGCAATATACAGCATAACTGCCGTCGTTGAGACTGCAGGTAAATCATTTGTTTCCTTTTTTTTCTTCTTCTTTTTGGTATAAAATCAAAATGGCTACATATGGATGTTTTCAACCAGCAACCCGACGTGCCTCAGTTAGAACCTCATTAGCAGCGTCATTGTCCCATGGGAAAGATGTCTATGTATGGATGTATATTGTAACAAAGAACATTCATTCCACAAACAGAAACTTGACACCCTTTTTCTTAAGTATTTACTAAAAAAGGGCCCAGAACCAGGTGCTTCAATTAGATAACACACCTTTTTGTCTTTATTTTTCCTCGAAACTTGATCGTCTTTTCTTCTCTTCCCATTTTCCTTTTTCTGCTTCAATAAAAAGAAAAGGGGAAAAGGCAAGTTAAACATAGTTATTATGCATAAATGAAAGAGAAAAAAAGACTGATTTAGCTCCAAACAAGGCATTGTAGAGTCCTCCTTCTTCTCAAACCAAACTTTTGTAAGAATACAGTATACATTAATTTTCCACACTTGTCCTCCACACAGCACTTTGTTCTTCATGGAGTGTACCGTTAAACTAGAAGCCAAAATTTTTGGAGAGGTTAAAGCAACCCCATTCAGGGGATGGCAAGACCATTGAACAAAAAAGGGATATCCATTTCTCTTTGTTTAATTATTATTAAGTTGACTTAATTAATTTACAAATAGGTAAATATACTGACAAATTGTGCTGGGATCTATACCGTGTCATGACTATTGCTCCTTCTACTACAAGGGGTGAATATACACCAGACTCGAAATCAAGACTAGCACCCTAAGTATTTATAAAAATAACATCCTCCAGACCAATCTCTTACCAAGTCCTACTTTTTCTGTTTACATCCATAAGGAGCAGGTCAGAAAGACTTCCAATTCAACTAATCTCAACATTTCAATTACCGGAGAGGCTAACAAGTATGCTTTAAACATTAAAATTGCCTGTGATAACAGCTGATTAACGAATATGTGAATAGATAGTTAAAACTAATATGGAATCGTACGACTTACACTCATCCATCTACATCTCAACGCTATATCTCGTACACACTTGTCCTTTAACTGCATAGCAATTTTAGCATAACGATGTATTGGTTTGTCAGTTGCGTATCTGCAAAAATAGCATTGCACTGTTCATTTTTAGCAAAATATCTGACTATCAAACTAAACTAAGCAAATCCAAAGTACACATGCAGCAAATAGAATCAAACAGTGATTAGTCAGAAGATGACAAGAAAAGTTGTATTGCGAAGAAATGCATAATTTCGTTAAACATAACAACTAGGGCATTCACATATGCAGTAAGCCTTTCATGAATATCATGAAAAACACGATGAATAAAGCAAATGACTAATATCTGCTCATCTATGTTACGGCTTTAAAACAAGGTTTCTCATGCAATCTAGTTATTTTCCACCCTTTACTTACACTTACTCTAGATGGTAAACACTGTCAGAGTAAATTCCTAACGTGATTCTGGGAAATTGATGATTATTTGTTCTCATCATACGTACCTGCCTTTTCAGGCAGATGCCAGTATCAATGGGTATGATGAAAAGGACAACAACAAGGACTTTGCATGATCTACCTTTAGTCAAGACGAGAATCCTATTACTTCAATGAAATTAACGAAAAACCCATTATTTTTAAGTAATTTATCATATATCTATGTAATCAAAATGATACATCTCCTAATAAACATCAAAAGAAGCTTGCTTTACCCTCATATCGTTCTTCCCTTCCCGACCTCCCAGAGTAAAGCAAGCAACAAGCCAAGTTCTCACTTTTTTGAGTATTTCTTGGTCAAGCATAAAATTACTTCAAACATAAGGCTAATGAATATTATGGACCATTGCTTAGTCAACAACCTTTTACTAACAAATGCTGAGTTTTTGATAATATTGACTAGAGTTGACCCCACTACTGGTTTTAGAAAACAAAACAAACATCTTTCTATCATTAAGTTTCTTAGATGAACAGGAGCTTAATTAAATAATTAGATAGCAAAAGAAAAAAGGATTATACTGACATAACTCAGAACCAGAGGCGGATATAGCATGTCTACTACAGGTTCAACTGAACCCACCATTTTAGACGTGGAGCATACTTATCTATGTAAAAACTACTAAAATTTCAACAAACATTAAATTCTGAACCCATAATTTCAAAAGTACCATAGGTTGGGGTAAAATTTTAAAGGTTGAACCATCAAGTCTAAATCTTGGATCCCTCATAACTGTTAGTAATATTCTAGTTTTACAAGCAATGTTTCACAGATTTGAATCAGCTTAAATACCAATAATCAAAAAGATAACCAAAAATACACAGCTTAGCAAATACAATCACGTGCACAAGAGATACTGTAACATACTTGGCGAGCAATTCTTCAAGGAGAGATTGTTCGTCGGGAGACCATTCAACGGCAAGGCCTCTACTGTGAATGAGCTCCCCCTGATTAGGTCCAATCACAGAGTTATCAGGAACCGAAACGCCGTTATTCGTTGTGCCGTTCGCATTATTCGTCCCTTCTTGACCGCCATTATTACCCGCCGCCGGATTCGCACTTGCCGCCATCAAAATTCACTACTTCAAATCCGAGAAAATAAATCTCTCCGCCTTCTAATTGCGAAATTGCTTCTGAGAAACGATGCAATTTGAATATATTGAGCAATTTAGAAGTGTTTTAGTGCTAAATTTTCTGAGAGAACGAGTTCGTTAGATGTGCGCGAGAGAGAAAATCTGCGGGAAAGTGTTTAACGGATTGGGTGTGGGTGCTAATCTTTAAGCAAATACTTAAACGTGATTAGACTGCTTTAAACGTGATTAGACTGCTCTAGTGAGATTATCCACTCCATGATATAGGACTTAATTTATACTTTTATATTCAGTTTTCCTGTGAGCTTGATCTATGTCTAAACAAATAAATAAATTATGTAACAGTGCGTGTATAACACCATCAACCATAAAACGGTAATATTATATGGTAATTTTTTTAAATAAACGTTTGACTTCGAAAATATTGTCACATTAATTAAGTTGTCGGAAATATTACTTGGTCGTAAGTGATTTTTATTTTTGAAATGACAAGACTATAGTTACTTTTATTTTAAATTTTTACGCAATTTTCCTTAGTTGAGTTACCGTCTAAAATCAATTTTGTTTAAATTATGTGCACTATTGTGTAATATAACTCAAGTAATTAGTAGTAATAAACCTTCATTATGTTAGAACATGCGCAGCGGAAACAAGCATATAATACAGATATCAAATATATGTAAACTAGACAATGATATAATTACTAGATTAGAAACACTAACCTCTTGAAATCGTTGCAAAGGTTCTCTACACAGCAAGAATACAGGGCTGCAGTCTTCTGCTATGATCATGGTAATACCTTGGACGAATATGCTTTGAGTGGGCAAGAACAACCTTAAGTAGACACGGATTCTACTTGTGCAAGTAGAATCCTACTCTAACTCTACCAGTTGACTTTTCTCTCAAGTCACTTTTTACCCCACATTTTTACTAGGCATAGCAAGGACCACAAAAATAATAAGAGGCTACTAATTATAGTATTAATTCGAAATTTTGCATGAATTAATTCTTACTATAATTAATTGCAGCTTATTCCACTAAAAAACTGCAATTGAACTCCTCAATATGAATTTCGAAAATTCACTAACACTTATTTTAATTCCCCATGTTAAGATCCCAAATACCAGTTAATTAAATTAAATCACTGAAAATTTAATTTAATCAACTAATTAAATCATTTATAATTCCGCTTAAATTATTTCATGTGACGGTTACAAAATTCACCGACCGGGTTTTCACATGAAAACTTATAAGCTTACATGAAAGGGGTATCATCAAACTCAAAACCGAGTCATGGATTCTATCAACTAATTATTATTTCACAAATGTTATTCGTTATTGTCCAATCTATTATGCATACACTAACTCTGAATAGAGTTGTACCTTTTGATAAATCAAAACAATAAACAAATCACATTGATCATAATAATTATATCAAGATTAGGAGTATAAGCTCATTTTAATGAATTAGAGAAAATATTTTTTATATATTCAGTACAAAAACATCATTTCTCTACTTGGTCCGTTTAATATACACTAAGTATACTAGCCCAAGAAATTGGAGTAAAACCACTCTCATAATCAAGACAAATTATACTATAATCTTGTGCTACAATCATCAAGATATTTTGTCCAATAATATCTTTGATTGTGAACATAGTTTATTAATTATGTGAACTGATAATTTAATCTTCTGTGCATGAGCTAAGACTCCATGCACTAAATTGTCTACTTCATAATTAAAAGGACACACGTGTAACAAATGATCTATTTAAAAAGGTACTTTATTGAATTGAGTAAATTAAATAAGCAATTGTTCCATAAAGAATTAAACAAAATACTATGTCTAAACCGCATGGTTAACAGTATATCCCAAAAATCTCTCACTTAGACTCATAACCATGCATCTACTGCTCTGACACCCATTCCTTCTACATGCTTGTCAAAAATCTTCTGTGGCAAGCTCTTTGTAAATGGGTCTGCCAAATTGTCCTCTGACGCAATCTTCAACACTCTTGCATCACCTCTCTGAGTAATGTCCCGAATTAAGTGATAATTACGCTCAATATGCTTACTTCTTTTATGGCTTCTTGGTTCCTTCGAGTTTGCAATTGTACCACTATTGTCACAATAAAGTACAATCGGTGCTTGAACTGAAGGAACTACATTAAGCTCTTTTAGAAAGTTCCTGAGCCAAACAGCCTCTTTAGCTGCCTCAGACATATTCGGCTTCCATGGTGGACTCAGCAACACATGATTGCTTGACGCTCCTCCAACTTATGGCTCCACCTCCTAGGGTAAAAATATATCCTCAGGTAGATTTTCTAGAATCTCTATCTGACTGAAAATCTGAATTAATATCGCCAATGGGTGTAAGATCACATGAGTGATAAACCAACATATAATCCTTAGTCCTTTTCAAATACTTGATTATATGTTTAACGGCAGTCCAGTTTTCTCGTCCAGGGTTAGACTGAAATCTACTAACCATGCTAACAACAAAGCAGATATCAGGTCTAGTACATAGCATAGCATACATGAGATTCCCTACAGCAGAAGCATAAGGTACCGCCTTCATATTTTCTATCTCATCAGTCATTTTTGGGGACTGATCTTTCGACAGAGAGATTCCATATCTAAAAGGGATAAAACCTTTCTTAGAATCTTGCATACTAAACCTGGTGAGAATAGTATCAATATAAAGTGCTTGGGATAAGCCTAATATATTTTGCTTGCGATCTCGCATAAGCTTGATCCTAAGGATATGTGCCGCATGTCCCAAGTCTTTCATATCGAAACGTGAGGACAATCATTCCTTTACTGAATTCAACATGCTCATATTATTTCCTATGAGCAAAATATCATCTACGTACAAAACCCAAAATGTAACTTTATCTCAATCCCACTTCTTATAGACACAAGACTCATTTTCACATTGATCAAAACCGAAGGTTTTAATCGATGCGTCAAAACAAGTATTCCATGCTCTAGAAGCTTGTTTCAATCCATATATGGATTTATTTAATTTACACAACATGTGCTCATTGCCATTTTTTATGAAACCAACTGGTTGTGCCATATAGATTCACTCATCAAGACTTCCATTAAGAAAAGTCGTCTTGACATCCATTTGCCAAATCTCAAAATCGTAATGAGTAACAATGGATAAGAGAATCCTAATAGATTTAAGCATGGCTACTGGCGAAAAGATTTCCTCATAATCGATCCCTTCTTTTTGAGTAAACCCTTTTGCAACAAGCCTAGCTTTAAAAAATTGCACTTTTCCATCCACTCCTCTCGTTTTCTTATAAATCCATTTACAACTAATGGGTTTGATTCCAATAGGTGGTTCTACAAGATCCCAGACTTGATTGGAGTACATGGACTCCATTTCAGATTTCATAGCAGCAACCCATTTATCAGCATTTGTATCCTGTAGTGCTTCGTCGTAATTAATAGGTTTTGTGTTAGGCTCTTCAGGGATTCTATCATAAGATTCTCCCAAGAGCGCAAAACGGAGAGGTTTTCTAATAATTCTCCCACTACGACTACTCACTACATGTGCAGTATTTTATTGTTGTTGAATCACAATATCATTTTTCGGAACTGAAGTGTCAATGTTATCCTCCACACCTTGTGGTGCTGGGATATCATTAACTTCTTCCTGGATTGCATGTTGCATAACAATTTTCAGGTTGCTCAACAATATGAGGTAGCTCAACATTACTTCCACTACTTTGGGGTAGTGAGATATCAGGCAATTGCTCTTGTGCATTCTGCTGCCTATTAATATTTCTCCTACTACGATAATGCAGTGGTATGTCAATACTGGCTTCCGAGATACGTTCCAGAGATGAGTCATTAGTTATTCCATTACTTAATTCCTGTAAAACTAGTTTACTTCTAGGAATATGGTTCATTAAATAGTCCTCTTCTAAAAATCTGACATTTGTCGTAAAAATTACCTTCTTTTCTTTGGGACAATAAAATAAACCGCTTTTAGTTCCTTTTGGATATCCAATAAAAATGCATACTTCTGCCCTCGATTCCAATTTATCCGCTTTCCCTTTCAGCACATGTGCTGGACAACCCCAAACCCGAATGTGTCGTAAACTTGGCTTGCGCCCAGTCCACAATTCTATTAGAGTTGAAGGAACCAAATTTAGAATGTAATTTGTTGTTTCTAAAGCATATCCTCAAATGGAAGAAGGCAAATTAGAATAACTTAACATTGATCTAACCATTTCCATAAGGGTCCTATTTCTTCTTGCCACACCATTTTATTATGGTATTCCCGGAGTAGATAATTGAGATGTAATTCTACAATCTGATAAGTATTTAATGAATTTCGCAGAAAGGTATTCATCACCACGATCAGATCGCAATGTTTTGATATATTTATCATGTCGTTTCTCCATTTCCGTCTTAAATTCTTTGAATTTCTCAAAGCATTCAGACTTACGGCGCAACAAATAAATGTATCCATATTTTGAGTAATCATCTGTGAAAGTCACAAAATACTCAAAACCACCTCTTGCTTGTATATTCAAATGGCCACACAAATCAGAGTGAATTAATTCTAACTTATCGCTAGCTCTATTTCCTTTTGAGGGAAAATGTCTCTTGGTTGTTTTACCTTCTAAACAAGATTCGCATGTTGGCGGTGACTCCACTTTTAATGAACTCAAAGGTCCATCAGAGACCAATCTCAAAATCCTATTTAGATTTATATGACCTAGACGTAAGTGCCACAAATAAGTTTGGCTCAATTCAGAAATATGTTTTCTTTTATGTGGCAGATTAATGTTATTTAATTCTTTTGGTTGTTGTAGCACATGCGGAGATATATCAAGAATAAAAAGGTCATGTACTCTAGCAACAGTGTAGATAAAATATTTATTAAACTTAATAATAGCAGTGTTATTAGCAAAATAAATATTATAACCAGCATCCATTATTTTCGAAACCGAAATCAAATTCCTTCTAATAGAAGGTACATAGAGAACATATTTCAAAACTAAAACTCTATCACTAATAAACGAAATTCTAATATCTCTTAATGCTAAAGCTAGTGCTGGCTCGCCATTAGCTTGAAAAACGCAAACTTCATTATCACTTAGCCGTCGTGTTTTCTGAAACCCCTACAAAGTAGTGCAGATATGATTAGTGGCTCCTGAATCTACACACCAAAATATGATAGAGACAGCCGCTAAACAAGTTTCAAC